CTGCATGTAAACGTGGCTACTGTTCAAATCTTTAGTTACAGTAATGTTACTGTAATCCACATACAGCATAGTGTATAACAAAAAAAAATACTGTAATATTCTGATCTATTTAGGTGCTTTTAAATGTTTTCAAATGTAGAAAGCCAGCGTTAGCTGCTTCCTCACGCTAAAAGAACTCTGTCCACTCTTTTGGCCACCCCAGTTAAACAAAGTGAGACAGTTAGCTAGCATCAATGAAGCATCACCACAGAAAAGTTCTGCTACATGGTGTGAACGTTTTTAAGGTAGCTGCCCTCAGGGTGATAACCGCTCAGGTCTGATCTGATGCTGCACTAATCAGCATATCAGAGGCCGAGTGAACTCTGCTCAAAACTTTAACATTACTTTTGTTTGTTTTGCTCAAGGAAGCAGATAACACTTACTTTCTATGTGTAGAAAACATTTAAAAGCTCCTAAATAAATCAGAGTATTACAGTATTTTCTGTTAAACACTGTTCTGTATGTGGATTACAGTAACATTACCATAACTGAAGATTTTAACAGAGAGCAGGAATAGTAGACGGAACAAAGCGTGCAATGTTTTTCACACAACATAACAGAAAATAGGATACAACGTTCAGTTTTTCCACTGTAAAACTGTATTTACAAATGTAGGTAACCAGTTAATAACACTATTATTTTGTTAATCTTTATAGAATTATGACCAGATTAATATAGTGATGCCTGACTTTCTGGAGTCGACTCTGACTCTTGACTCCTGCCCTTGGAATCAATGGATATTAAATATATATACAGATATTAAACAACCCAAAACATAGTTTGCCCATTTTTTAAGGGCTACAGATTATAGTGATATGATGATAATTCGCAATTACACCAGGTAATAATAGATAATAAAGGGAAAAAAATGTGCAATGTTTTCACATAATGTAATGGAAAAAAATCACTCAGTTTTGAGTAAAAGTGAAATTGTTGTGGCTAACCAGTAAATGATGCTATTATTTTCTTAATCTTCATAGAATCATGACTAATATAGTGATGCTGAGTTTTCTGGCGTCGACTCTCGACTCCTGCCGTTGGAATCGATAGATTCGACACATTGACTTCATTTAAAACTGAGCCAGCTCCAAAGCCAGTGATAAATAATACAGCAGATATTAAACCATCCTTACCAGAATTTACCCAGCTTTGGAGTAGCTACAGATTATAGTGATATAATGAAAATTCATAATTACACCAGGTAACATCAGATAGCCTGACAAATGATTACAGCTGACTAATGTTTAACACATCTTACAGTCGCACTGTCTCATGTAATGTGGGTGGAGGGGAAAATCTGAGTCATGTAGTGAGAAAATCATGTCTGCGGTCATAATTCTTCAGTTCTTTAAAATAGAAGCAGTGGGATGTTTTCTTGTTCCTCTTTTCACACGGATGATGTCAGCTCCACATTCGCCATCTTCTTATTCGACTTTGACTTTCACCCTTAAATGATTCACCATTGACCTTCATGGTGTGCCGGCAGAAGAATGTAACTGCAGTGCCATTTAAGGTGGAATGGAAATTTGGATAAAAAGCTGGCGAATAAGAAGCCGAATTCATCTGTGTTGACATTGTTTAAAGCTAATAGTTAAACTCACAGTAAAACAGTCTTTCCTGCTTTACACACTCCTCCATCAGAATGTCCCTCAAGTTGATTACGCTGAAAACACAGAGTCGCAGAATCGGCTCTGAGAATTTTGACTCTCAGACTCGTTGGCCAAGAGTCAAAGCGGCCCACAGGCACGTTGGGGTTCGGCTGCTTGATTAAGGCAATTTCGGTTAATATTTCGGTTAATATTGAGAACACAATTATTCAACATGATTAGTCATAGACTTTATGCATTTATTGAATTAAAAAATTGTCTTTTTAACAGTGGATTTCCTTAAAAGGTGGTGCAGTGGATTTATAACAAAAGACAAAACCAGAGCATCATCGTGAAACAGAATGCAGCACAATAATCGTTTTATCTCAATTATGGTTTCATAATCGTTGGTGTAAGGGCCCAGCCTGCGCCACCAGCAGAGGGCGACAGTGGCGAGGCGCCACAAGTTCAGGGAACTCCAGTTCCCAGAAGCTCTCGGGAAAGAAAAACAAAAGAAAAGAGGGCTGGAAAAACAATAGAGGAAAATTGCCCCAAAACTGCTTAAAAGCCAAAAAGAAAGTTTTAAACAAGAAAACAGCTCCAAGCCAAGCAAACATGAAAAGTGTGTGCTCCACAAAGAGCAAACAGGTGAAACATAAAGTCGACCTTCCTCTCATAATTACAGAGGAAGTGTCTTTTGTTTTCTGATTATCTTTTATTTCACTTTTTCTATCTCAGTCTCTGTGTGAGCATGCTGCTTTCAGGATCACCCCTGTCTGCCTTTTTTCCGCCGTTTTTTCTTTTTTTTTATTATTTGCATTCGTTGAGGTGTTATTCCCATTTTCGCCTGTGCTTCCTGGTAGGCTCAGTGGCCCTTTATCAGTGCTGTTCTGTGAGGTACATCATTTGTAGAACACTATCAAAAATAAGAAACTACTAATGTTTACTATCGTATAGTAACTTCTATTGTTTGTCTGCCTAAGTGATGCTATGTTGCAGCTGCGAGGCTGCCTGCACTGGTGGTGTTTGGCAGGAAAATGCTACTCTTTGCATGGCTAAGGACTCTTTCCCGACTAGCTAAGCATTCTTCGGCTCGTCGAATATATATATTATATATATATATATATATATATACACACTATATTGCCAAAAGTATTTGCTCGTCTGCCTTCACATGCATATGAACTTGAGTGACATCCTATTCTTAATCCATAGGGTTTAATATGAGGTCAGCTCACCCTTTGCAGCTATAACAGCTTCCACTCTTCTGGGAAGGCTTTCCACAAGGTTTAGGAGTGTTTATAGGAATTTTTGACCTTCTTCCAGAAGCGCATTTGTGAGGTCAGACTCTGATGTTGGACGAGAAGGCCTGGCTCGCAGTCTCCACTCTAATTCATCCCAAAGGTGTTCTATCGGGTTGAGGTCAGGGCTCTGTGCAGGCCAGTCAAGTTCTTCCACACCAAACTCACTCGTCCATGTCTTTATGGACCTTGCTTGGTGCACTGGTGCGCAGTCATGTTGGAACAGGAAGGGGCCGTCCCCAAACTGTTCCCACAAAGTTGGGAGCATGAAATTGTCCAAAATCTCTTGGTCTGCTGAAGCATTAAGAGTTCCTTTCACTGGAACTAAGGGGCCGAGCCCAACTCCTGAAAGACAACCCCACACCATAATCCCCCTCCACCAAGCTTTACACTTGGCACAATGCAGTCAGACAAGTACCATTCTCTTGGCAACCGCCAGACCCAGACTCGTCCATCGGATTGCCAGATGGAGAAGCGTGATTCGTCACTCCAGAGAACACGTCTCCATGCTCTAGAGTCCAGTGGCAGCGCTTTACACCACTGCATTCAATGCTTTGCATTGCGCTTGGTGATGTAAGGCTTGGATGCAGCTGCTCGGCCATGGAAACCCATTCCATGAAGCTCTCTATGCTGTTCTTTAGCTAATCTGAAGGCCACATGAAGTTTGGAGGTCTGTAGCGATTGACTCTGCAGAAAGTTGGCGACCTCCGCACACTATGCGCCTCAGCGTCCGCTGACCCCGCTCTGTCGAGTTGCTGTTGTTCCCAATCGCTTCCACTTTGTTATAATACCACTGACAGTTGACTGTGGAATATTTAGTAGTGAGGAAATTTCACGACTGGACTTGTTGCACAGGTGGCGTCCTATCACGGTACCACGCTGGAATTCACTGAGCTCCTGAGAGCGACCCGTTCTTTCACAAATGTCTGTAGAAGCAGTCTACATGCCTAGGTGCTTGGTTTTATACACCTGTGGCCATGGAAGTGATTGGAACACCTGAATTCAATGATTTGGATGGGTGAGTAAATACTTTTGGCAATATACTATATATATATATATATATATATATATTTCCATAATGTTACATCACACCAGTTTTTCCCAGCAGTTTGCCATATCAATAAAATCACTGGGTCTAATCTGGTCACCCTGTTGAAAAAGTTCCAGCGACAGCCCTGAGTAGATGTTCCTCTTGAGGAAATTCTAGTAGAATACCAGATATACCATTTGGGTCCAGTGGACACATTCCAGTAGAAAAGTTCAAGTTTTACCAGGAAGTTGGAACACTGCTACTAGTGCCTACTTGTGATGTAAATTCCGATTGAAAACCAGCTGGACAGTCTTAGTGGGAATTCCAGGAGAACATCAGTTCATAATTAAAACCTGATGATATCAGAAAAACATGGTCTATACTGGAAACATGGTGTTCTCTTGGATTCAGCTGGATCCGGGACCAGTTCACCAGCAGATGATGGTAGAGGTCTGTGCCACTCTGACTGGTACCAGATGAGTCCAGCTCGCTCCCAGAACAAAAAATGATATCACAGATGACCAACAGTGCTACAGGAAATTAAACAGTTTCTCCATATCTATTAAAACCAGTTAAAAGACTCTGGAAAGACCAGTTCATGTTTCAAACGTCCCTTTGAATCAAGTAAAAGACCTTAGAAACCATCAGTAGCAGAATAGCTTAACTAGAGTGAACTGGAGCCACTTAGCATGAGTTAGCATTCTTCTCCTAACTGCATCACTGCTGACACATAGGATTATGGGATATGTAGTCAGCATCAATGCAGTTAGGAGAAGTATGTTAACTCACGCTAATCATAGCATGAGTTAGCATTGTTCTCTTAACTGCACTGATGCTGACTCACAGGATTATGGGATGTGTAGGCAGCCTCTTAGCCCATCACAGTGTGAGGTGGCCGCTGACTATGCTATAATGTGAGATAGTGGTCACTGACCTGCTGTGAGATGTTATAACTTCAGATCTTTCAGGAATGGAGAAGAGAAATTGTTCTGTGTCTATTTTTAACTCACTAAGCATCATTTCCTCCACTGTCTTCTGGTCTTTTGCGGGTTTATAAAGGCGCCAGACTGCAGTCTTTCCTGATACTCGTGCTTTCTGGTCATGCTTTTCTGAAAAACCTTCAGCAGCTACAGCCGAACAACATGGTGCGTATTAACTCTGTCTATTAATTTCTAATATATTCATATCACAGTGCGTTTACATGCATTTAATAATCGGATAACTACAGAAAATCAATTTTTTGTCAGTAATCCAATCAACATGTTTGAGTGATCAGATAATTGGAAACTCCAGGTCTGCATAAGCAAGGCTGTAATCAGATTACTGCTTGCTTATTTGCAGTACTGCTGTTTTTGCACATGCACAGACTGAGAGAAAAGAAAGAAATCAGAGTAAGAGTTCACATGCACTGAGAAATCTGATTACTGAGCTAAAATCTAGCTCTCTATCAGATTTCTAGACCTTACTCAGATCTAAGAAATCAGAGTGTGCTATTTACACGACCATTTGAATAATCAGATAACTGCATAAATCAGATTATGATCAGATTATTGAGTGCATGTAAACTCACTCACTGTTATTTTTTCACAATTTTGTTGAAGGACTATGTCTAACAGTAGACAGACTGGCACTATAATTTTAGTAAGTATTTGTTCATTGTGTTTGTATTTGTTCTTTAAGCCACAAACGTTTTAGCATAAACTACAATATGTTTCATCATCAAAGGCCTTTAAAAATAATAGATATTGTAAAAAATCTATTCACAGTTCTGAAAATAATACTCACATTGTTATGTTTTTTTTTCAATATTGTTTTTATTTCTTTTAAAGTGAATTTGAAGGATTTTAGATTTATCATAAAATTTTAAGTAATAAAAATGCTGTCCCACATGCCACTACCAAAACATACAGTTTTAGTATGTAGGCGGAGCCTTATTTTAGCCACGCCCCTATGTTTTAGAGCAGAAAGTGAGGCTGCATCCCTGTCCCTCATGGCCACATGGTGAGCAGTTAGATCCCATTGTTTTGAAATGTAAAAGTAAATGTGTCCCAAAGTCTGAAAATCAGTGTGGAACATTAAGAATTGTCACTACTGAAACAGGTATTTTTTAAAACCTTTTAGTGTTTTAATGTAAAATATGATGATTTTCTGTGTGAACAACTGTTCAAAGCTGTGTTTGCTGGTGATGTACTGGCTGCGTTTTTTTTAGTTCTGCTCAAAATGAGCTAAAATTGTCACCACCGACACAGTCACTATTGAAACATGTAGTAAAGTTTGGGTAGAGTTATGATTGTTTCAGCAGTGACAAAATGGAATATTTAATCATTTTTTAAATAAAATAGTTATAATAAAGGTGTAAGGTCACTCAAAGGATTTTAAAACAGGATTTTAAATGTGTTTCAACTTTTGAACCAGTTCAGTAGAATCATCTATACAGTTCTGGTTGATATTGAGCTCCAGGCTGAATACAGTAAATCTGACATTGAAAATGTGCTTTGATCAGGTGTGCTGTGGAGTGCTGGTGGGACTCTCCGTGCTCTCCGTTCTCTCTCCTGCTGCTGGGGGTCGCATCAAGAATCTCCCAAAGATCATCAATTTCCTCCAAAACAAGTAAGATGGAACGTCTACAAAGCTTTGGGTTTTAGACCTGATTAATAATGATTATGATCATAAAGGGGGACAAAAATGCCGAGTCTGTTTATTAGACTCTTCCTCAGCAAACAAACCAAAGACTAGTTTTAGCTAATAACGCTGGTGTTATGAGGCTGAAAGTTCAGTAGTACAAACATTTAGCAGAACAAAGTGCATTTGAAAATGTTCAAGCACTAACACTTCACCCCACCCCTCCATCTCAACAAGAATCGGGACACCCTTCCCCTAGACGTGAATGCACAAAATAGAGGGCTAAGGGCTAAGTGTTAGGGGCGAGGGGTGGAATGGGATTGGGCCTAACTCACAAAATTAAGCAAAGTTGTCATATTGTACAGTCCTGTTAGCAAAACCAGCATTTCATTGAATTGTTAACCTTACATTTTCTTCATTTTCTTGTGAGGGGATGTAGAGAATTCCTAAATAGTGATTTCAGGATTGAGATACTGGCACCTAAACTTGATAACTGAGTACCCTGTGCACATTCCCTACTTACCCTACTAGAAAAACCAGCATAGACTAGCAGGGCAGGTCGCCAGCAAAACCAGCGTATGTTGTGTTTTGGAAGCTGGTACGCTGGTCAACCAGCATGACCAGCTAAATCACTAGATCAGCAGGGTGACTACTTTTGTAGGTAGAATGGGTACAAAAAGAAGGTCTGGCTGTAGTGCAACAGCAATGCTAACGTTACTACTACTAACGCCAGCTAACTTCATCTATTCTACAAAATCTATGAAATGCTACATCTTTGTGACACCATGGAAGTTCTTATATAACTTCTGTTTGTTCTAACATGTTGTTTTCAGTTATTTAGATGGCGATCAGTTCGCCGTGGTCATCAACGTCCCAGCTGAGAAGTGTTCCACTCGTATAAAACCTGACCAGAACTTCCTCCCAGATGATTCTGCACTGAAAGTTAAATGTGCCATGAACAGCACTGTAAGGGTTTACAGAGGGCAGCAGCTGATGGGTGCCAAACAAAAACCGAACAACGAAATGAGCAGCTACCACCCTGAATACCTTCTGCTGATTCAGTCGAACCCACCAGAAAACGCCTCCTATGATCCGCTGCTGAAGAAGCTCCTGGATAAAGACAAACACGGCTGTGTGGTTTTCTACACCTACAAGTCTCCCTGTGTGAACACCTGCTCAACACCTGAGGGAGCGTACAGCATCCTCCCCGCCCTCGACATGCTCAGGAACCACAAGGGTCCGAAAGCTTTCGTGTTTAGGAAAGTTTGGAAACGTAGCGTCGGTTCCGTTGAGGGGAAAGACGCGCAGCCTCGCCCATTGTGGCACTGTTACCGACACGGTCGAAGAGCCTATGCCACGATGTCGGTTTGGGACAACTATGAAAGTCAGCTTCGGTGGGAAGCAAATATAATGGCAATGAATGCGCGAGTGCGGCTCTACCGCTGTGATGGTGGTCGATGTGTGCGTTGCGTATATGAAAATGAGGCTGATGGGAGGTGCATGCACCCGGTGGACCTGTGACAGAATAAAAGTGTTTGAAATATGTATTCAGGTTGCAAAAATCAACAAGTGTAAATAAACATCTGTATTCAGTACAGGTTACATATTTCAGTAAGTAGAACATTTTTAGAAGAATACTTTTAGAACAGAGTGCTGGGCAAAAGTTAGAGGTCATTCTTTGTTGCTTCTGAAGCCTCTAATATCAGCTGTTTAAGTGTTGAGTGTGTCACTCTTTCTCTTTATTCCAGCTTCCATTCTTTTCAGGAGACTCACTTTCAGTTCCTCAAAGAATCTGCAGACACACCTCCAAAGTTCAGTCTTAGAAGTTGGTCGAACATTTTCTGAAGTAATCAAACACATTCAGTGGTGTTGAGGTCTGGACTCTGGGGTGGTCAGTCCATTGTTCAGCTTCTTTGTTTGAAGTGTCCATCTCCTTTTCTCAGTGAGGTTCTTCTTGATCAGCTACACATCCTTTCAGACCCACAGCGCTGAGTCGTCTTCTCACAGTGGAAGGATGGACAGAAACACCTGTGGATGTTTTCAGATCTGAAGCAGCTTGATTTTCTCCTCTCTCTCAAAGATGAAAGCTTTAAGTGCTGTTTATCTGATGGGGGCAGTTTTGGGGTCGACCAGGTTTTCCAGGTGCTTGTTAGGAGCCGTATATCAATATATGCAAGGATGCAATGATCTTATAACTAATCTCTTGTTCTCAAATATCTCCTGAAAAATGGACAAATTGTACTTGTGGTTGTTTTGAGTGGAAATTAGATTGCACAGCACTGTACTTACATACTAGATAAAATAAAAACAGTCAAAAAAAACAAAACAACAAAGTATATCCATTGCACATATCAATAATATCAATAATTAAGTGCTTTTATTGTAGAGTTTTAGCCATTTTGTCAGTCAATCAAATTGGATCATAATTGATATTAAACACATAAATAGCTTCCAAAATAGTAGCTAGAAAAACATAATGTATCACACCAGAATGTCATGGAAGTTGTTATGCAGTACTTGGTAGCCCACTTAGTGTGTGGCTGTTGTAAAATACATTGGATTGGTTCAGTATTGACCGATACTCAGTTTTAAAGAGCTTGGATTGGATTAGGAGACAAAAAACTGGACTTTGATATCTATAGCTATAATATAAAGTTGGGAGCTCAAATTTAATGTGCTAGAGAGCCAAAGGTCTATTGGCCTGAAAACAAGTCTAGGAGAAACAAGATGCTGTACCAAATTTCTTTATTTGACATGTCTTCTCTCATTAATACCAGCCTTAGTTCCAACCTCTTGTAAATGTTGTGTGCATCATGTGTTTATACGATATTGAAGTATGACTTGTCGCCTCAGTGATAAAAATAAAGGCCTGACTGATTGCATTTCTTCATTTGATACAAAGTCTGCTTTCACTTTCAGCAGCTTCTTCAGTACTGCCACAGAAAAACAAACATGCGGTGCAGTGCTGCCATCTGCTGGTGGAAAACTGCACTGCAGAGCTGGTTCACAGCTTATAAATATATAAATAATTCTATGTTTCATAAAGCCAGTGGAAAGATGCTGGCAAGATAAGATTCAGGAGCAAAAGACAGCTTTAATATTATGAATAGATTTCATATTCACATTTTATTGAAAACATTTACCTTATAGGCCCTCTATACAGGTGTACAGACTGTTGTCCATCTGTTGCTGCACAGTTAATCACCCCCCTACTCTACCTGATTCATCATCGGTCAGTTTCTGACCACAGGACCTGCACCAACAACAAAGACTTGGAGTCCCACATGAACCTTGCAGTCTGTCTAAAAGAAGTGGAAAGAGACAAATAAAGCCAGAGAAATGTCTGTGTATGACCCCTGGTTCCTATCAACACCACTGTAAAAAAAAGTCTCTGTAATCAACCACAAACTCCCCCATATCTGATATGATTGGCCTACAGCCTATGAGGTCTGATGTGATTGCCTTACAACTCACGAGGTCTGATGTGATTGCCTTATAACTTATGAGGTCTGATATGATTGGCCTACAACTTATGAGGTCTGATGTGATTGGCTTACAACCTACGGGGTCTGATATGACTGGCTGGGGTTCCACTTTTCACATTACGCTAGTAAATCTCTGGTAGCACAGCAGTAGCAGCGCTGCATTAGAGCAGCAGTAGCGCCTCCCCCAGGTTGCAGCCTGCTATCACAGTATATTGTGAATTTGGAGATGCAAAGGTACAGTTCAATAATGAAGAATGAATAAGAACAAACTATAGATGAACCAGTAATGTACATTTATTTGGGAAGGGCTGGCTAAATAACATTTTCTGGAGGGGGCGCTAAAGCAGCCCTAGCGACAGCCCTGTCACTAATCCTAAAAATATTGGATAAACTGATGACTTTAGTTAGGTGAGTTGAGACTGTGTGAATGTACACATATTGTTGAGAAATGCAGAGTGGCCTGTTTTAAGCTGTAAGGTTTTATAGCTGTAAACTGTACTGAAATGAGATTGAAAAAATCTGTTTGAGCACAGTAGGACTTGTTACCCCACAGCAGACCGTTTCAAAGCATGTTACAACATCAGTGCTTTCCGGAAAGGAGAACAGAAAATGCACTGTGTTCATTGAGTAATCACTCTGTTAACTGTTTTTCTGGACTGTACGCTGTTTCTAAAAGCATCAGACCGAAGTCTCTTCTAATTTGCAAGCTTTTAGAAAAAGCTGCAACGCATCTCAGCAGCTACAGTGAACAACATGGTAAGAACTCGCTTTCTGTAACACAATATAAATCTATAACATACGGTCATATGCAAATGTTTGAGGAGTCTATGTTGAATGTTTCTTGATTTGCAAAATGTGCAGAAGCATGTTAACTGTGACTTATTTTCAGGTAAAAAATAAAAAAAACACATGGAATTTGACTTAGGGTGCCCAAACATGCTTGGTTTGAGGAACCAACGGCTGGAGTAAAAAGGGTTCAGTGGTACTGTGACCTTTGAGCTTGAGTACTGACTGGCCAATATTGATATAGAAAATGCTGTATTATCTCAGTAGTGTCTGACATTTGGTATATGATTTGATTGTTTTGGTCAGGTGTGTTGTGGCGTGCTGGTGGGACTCTTCCTACTCTCCGTGCTCTCTCCTGCAACTTGGGCTCAAATCGGAAATCTCCAAGACATCATCAGCTTTCTACAGGCAAAGTGAGATACAAAGTTTTAAAGGATCTTCACTGAGCTTGCTAATACACAGTCATAATATGGATAACTTTAGACTTGTGACTCTCTACCTTAGTACTATTGTTTGTCAGATGGTTCACAAAATTTGATGGAAATTGTGTTGGCAGTTGATAAGGGCCAAATGATCTAAAAATGATCTTTGTTAAGGTTAGATAGCTCACTGATTATATAAACAATTTTATTTGCTGTGGGATGTAGGTTAATATTCCAAGTGAGTCATAAAACTCAACTCTTTAGATGCAAACTTCGCAATATTTGACTAACACCAAATGTGGCAAATTATGACATTAAACTAACTGTTCAGAGTAAGAATGTGAAGTTTGGCAGATTATTTTGAACATAACCAGGTTGTGGTAGTGTGTTGTTTTAATGTTTTAATCTCTGCTACATCCCTTTATTAATGGTTCTGGCACTATCGGCTAAACTTAAGAAGTGTTGAGGGGGCAACTCCATTGACTCTGGCAGCAGGATCCAAGAGTAGGAGTAGACTCCAGAAACACCACCAAATAAAGTCACCAAAAGAAGTTGCACTCTGGCACCCTCATGTGTATGATTCAGAAATGGTCCTCAAGTTGAATGAGAAACTACCACCTATTCAAATATTCAAGAAATTCAAATGCTGCTCAAAAATTCAAATCATTTCTCAGAAATTAAATTAAAATTTTTAAAAAACTTATTAAGAAAGTGGGGTGTTTGGAGACATATCTAGCTGTGGGAGACATACAGGGTGTGGATACTTCAATGGAGAAAATTAATAGGAAGTCAGGAGAGGGAGAGAAAATCAATAAAACATTTGACTTTTTTCATAGTAATAAGCCATAGAATTATTTTTTTTTGTATTTTCAGCCCACAGCCCCTCTAGTCTAACACTTTCCAAAAAGGCACCTGAACTGACAACGTTTGATAGTCTGTACATACAAATATTTTAAACATTTATAAGACAAAATGGACTAATCCAAAAAGATTTCAATTTTTTCCAGCATTTTCATCTTTAATGGTAATAAAATCAGTTTAGGATCTCCTAAAAAAGATAATAATATATGGCATTAGGGAGGCGTGTTCCCTCCACCAAAGGAACTTTGGTCCTGTCAATGTTTAATGCACTGTTACAGCTTTGTTTTGGTGCCATAATTATTATGCCCCAATTTTCTCTGTTTGTAGTTATGGAGGCGGAGGTCAGTTCGCTGTGGCCATCAACGTCCCAGCTTCTAAGTGTGCTGCTGGTGTAAGACCTGATCAGAACTTCCTCCCGAATGATGATGCACAGAAAGCGAGAGAGGACATGGCTGGTCGTTCCAAAGTTTACAGAGGTCAGCAGCTGATTGGTGCCAAACCAAAACCAATCCCTGGAACAACAAGCAACTACCACTCTGAGTACCTTCTGCTGATTCAGTCCAACCCACCAGCAACATCTCCTTATGATCCACTCATAGGGGGTCTCCTGGGGCAAAAACCCAAGTGGCTGTTTGATTTTCTACACCTTCAACTCTCCTTGTGTGGGCACCTGCTCAACACCCAATAAGCCTTACAGCATCATCCCTGCACTTGACAGGTGGTTCATGAACCACAGAGGTCCTAAAGCTTTTGTTTTTGGCCAGGTTTGGAAACATGATGTAAAAAAGCCTCAGTGGGAAGCAAACATGAGGGAAGTGAATGCTAGAGTGCCGCTGTACCGCTGTTATAATGCTGGCTGTTTTCTCTGTGTGGATAACAATAATGTGATTAATGCTCGCTGCTCCTACTAGCATTACAGGTAAAATATGGTCCGCATAATGTAGTTTTAACTGCATTCATTTAAGCTTTCAACTAAAAAAGATAAGATCAATTTGTAAAAGCATCGCTGAAGACTAATGTGAAGACTCCTAAAACTAACTTTTTTTTCCCCTGTACTTGATCATTAAGCTTTCACATTTATCAATAAATACTGCTGCATTGGACCAGTCTATTTTGTTTGTTTGGTTTGGGCTTCTACAGTCATTTTACTCCCATTTTAGTATACCTGTCCATGTACCAAAATCCTTCATCCCCAGAGTTGGGTAGAGTATCC